CGATGATGATGATGATGATGATTTATTTCCTTAATAATTAATTATTATTATCTTTATAAAAAAATTCCAATCAAATAATAATTTTTTTTCTTAAATTGATGAATTTAGAAATCGTGTTCTGTATAATAATAATAATAATAATAATAATAAAATTTTAGTTTTGACAATTTGTGATTGTGGTAAAAAATAAAAAAAATATTTGTAATTTTTGAGTTTAAAAAAAAAAAAAAAACGATTATTAGAATTAAATGAATTTAATAAAAAAAAAAAAAATTTTCTGTTGTTTTTAGTGTTTATTATTGGCCAGAATTTTTTTTTTTTTTGGATTATATATATATATATATATAAAAATATCCTTTGGATCATTTTTTATGTTTACAAAAAATTGTTTTTAATTAATAATTTCCCCTTAAAATTATAATTAAATTGATACATAATTAAAATTTGAAAAATATTTTTTTAAATACACACAGAAAAAAAATTTTATTTGTCTTATTAATAATAATAATAATAGTAAAATTTATTGGGCGAGGACAAATTGTCCAAAAAAAGTAAACAATCAAGTTTTTTTTTTTTTTTTTTAATTATTAATAAAATAATTGTAAATAAATACATTTAGTAATTAATAATATTGTTTAAAAAAAAAAAAAGAAATTTTTTATTTTGAAATAGATGCTGGTGATACAGATGACACACAAAAAACCCCCAATAATCTTTTATAAAAATTTTGAAAACAATTTGTATTATTATTTAAATTTAAAACTGTTAATGATTCATCGTCACTGTATGGGGTTTTTCGGGAATCCCCCGATAATTGAAAAACAAAAATATTTTTATTTTTATTTTTATTTTTTATCAAATTAAAAAAATCACCTTTTTGTTTTCCTGTCTTTATTAAAAGCCAACATTTATCATCATTTTTATTATTATCATTATTATTAAAATTACTATTGTAATTATTTTTATTAGTTTTTTTCGTAGTTAGCAAAAAAATAATTATATTTGCTATGTATTTATCTTTATCCGCTGCTGTTGTTGTTCTTGTTGTTGTCATTGTATTTAATTTTGTTTTTTTAGATAATTTTTTATTTTTTTTACCACTATTTATATTATTTAACGGTTTTCCGTACGAGTATAAATTTGTCAATGATTTTGTTAACCTTTGAACTTTATCGGAAAATTTATTCGTTTCCGATAAGTATTCTAAACTTTTTGACGTCGTTCTTATAAAATTTTTCCTTTTTTCAATTTTATGAGTGATTATTGTTTTTGTTAATTTATTTTCACTTCTTGAATTAAACACGTGCGTTGCGTTATCATCAAATTCGTTATCATTTTTTTTATTTGAAATATTTACGTTATCATCACAATTATTTACGTCCCCCGATCGGGAATTTAAATTTTTTATTTTCTTACTTTTCGTCGTCGTTACAAATTCAGGATTTAAAATTTTACCTTTAAAAAAAAAAAAAAAAAAAAAAAATTTAGGTATATGTTAAAATAGAAAATTTTATTATTATTATCTCACCAAAATCATCAATATGAGGAATATGAATAAAATTTTCATTTGATGATACGTTATCATCATCACGTTGTACGTTTTTTTTATAAAATTTTCCATTTTCATTATAATGATTATTATCACCATTAGAAATTTCTTCTGAAAAAATATTTTTTTGTTTATATTAATCATTTTAAACGATTTGTTGTTTACTATTGATTACTATTATTATTATTATTGTATTGCACAAACCGATTACATTACCTGAAGTTTTGTACCTGTTTTTATCAACGACATAATTTAAACAATAATTTTTTTCATTACGCCATTGATTCGGTGATAAAAAATCTCGTCGCGAATTTTTTGGAGATTCTAAAAAAAAAAAAAAAAAAATTTTCACTTTTATAAACGGAAAAGTTTCTTTAAAAAAAAAAAATTTCTTTTGTTTTTCTTTTTTTTTTTTTTTGGTTACCCATTAATGACGAAATTAAATCAAATGATGAATTTTCCTCATCATAATGAATAAAATTTTTTTTTTCTTCGTTTAATTTGAAATCGGGAGATTTTTTTACATTCGGTTTAAAATTAATATTTTCAAATGTAGGAATATTATTATAATTATTATTATTATTATTAACGTTAAATTTTATTTTTTCCGATGATTTTATTAAATCATGACGAGAATTAAATTTATTAAAATATTCCGAGTTACTTTTCCACATTGATGATCTATTTCCTATAATTTCACTTTTATTTTTATCGTATTTAAAAAAAATTTTCTTATCATTTTCCTTTGGTGTTAATGTACTTCCGGAAAATATATTTTTTTTATTTTTAATAATATCGTTATAATTTCTTTCAGATATCGAATAATTTTTGTCATCTTCGTCCACGTAGTCGTCGTAGTCGCCATCATCGTCATCATCCTCGTCGACTTTTCCTTTAAAATTTTTCAAATAATTTTCTTCTTTAATTTCTAATTGGGGGGGACTTTGTGGCAAATAATCATTCGAGCTTTGCATGTTTAAATATTGAAATTCATCCATTTCGAATGAATCCGTTTTACTTTTTATCGGGCTGCTCGATTCTTCCGATGTTAAGCTTTTTAAATCTATTGTTAGATTTTCACGAATATCATCTTCCGTTGTTTTATTATCGTTTGTTAAACTTTGTACTTTTATTGGATATTCTTGAGATTTAAATTCCGTTTGACATTTTTTTTTATTATTATTATAATTAAATTGTTCATCGAAATTAATATCAGTCTTGACATTCTTTGGTGTTAAATATGTAATTGGTTGTTCACGTGTTACGTAAGAGCATCTTTCGGATTTGCTACCACCATTTTTATCATCGAAATTTTTAAATTTTCCATCTTTAAACGATTTTAAATTAGAATCATCACCACTAATTCCGTATCGAATATTGGGTATTAAATCATCATAACTTATTTTTTCACGTAAATCATCATTTTTTTTTTTTATTTCGTCATTTTCTATAATTTTAGGAAGTTTTTTAAATTTTTTAAAACGATTTAAATCGTTATTATAATCAAATGAAAATGTCGGATTTTTTAAATATTCTGTTTTCATAAACATTTCCTTCTCGTTATTGTCAAAATTCACTCGTGCCACGTCATCATCATCGTCATCGTCGTAACGTGTCCCGTTTTTTATTTTATTTGTTTTTTCAAAAAATAAATTATTATTTATTAAATATTTATTTTTTTCCGATTGTAATTTTACGGGTGATACATCAACGTTTTCGTTATACGAATCATAAATTTTAGTTTTATTCGAATTACTATAATTTTCATAACTATTTCCATGAGGTTCTCTATCGGGTTTGAAATTATAAAAATCTCTAGTTTTAATTCCTTCACCGAATGTTGGGGATCCTCCATCGTTTAAACATTTATTTCTTCTTCTAATCCTTGCTGGATTTTGCCTCCTATTAATTTCATTTATTTTATTATTATTATCATTATTCGATCTGTCACTCAAACTGTTTTTTTTATTTATGACAATTTCACTGTTTTTAAATTCTGTTATATTTTCATGAGTATTAAAACTTTTTATATGTGGAATATAATAATCCGATTGGTTTTTATTATAGGTAAATTTCGATGGCAATGTAGTAAAATCATCAACATCATCATCATCATCATCATCATCGTCGCTGTCATCCCATGAAGAAGGTCTTTTCACTTGTGAACACGGTAAACAAATAATACCTGTTTCCTTTGGTGTTTTACCACAATTCGATGATGATTCATACTTTTCCACCGTGGAATTATAGGTAAGATCTTCATCTATCATATCATTGTAATTTTAATCTAAAAATAAAAATAATAATAATAATAATAAAGTTATAAGATAAACATAAAGAAAACCAAAAAAAAAATTATTTAAATTATTTAGATAAAAAAAAATTAATTTATTTATAAAGAAAGTAAAATTCTTTCTAGAAAGTTATGACTATTATTATTATTATTATTATTTTGTTTTTCAAAAGGCGACATTTTCAGTAATTAATAATAATAATAATAATAATTAATATCTTACACGGGTTTTTTTTGGAGTTTCATAAAAATAAAAAATCGTTTTAGTGTTTTTTTTTTTTTGTAAATTAAAAAAATAAATTATTAACATTATTATTATTATTACCTGGCCAAATCCGTGAGAAATAAAAAAATGCGCGTTCAAATAAATAATAATAATAATAATTAATTAAATGGTTCGCGTAAATGATTTTTTTAAAAAATCATTAAAAAAATATTTACTATTTACTATAATTAATGGTTTTTTTTGTTGCCGTTCTAGAATTTAAAGTAGAAATTTTTTTAAATTAGAGAATACTTTTTTTTTTTATAGAAAAGTAATAAAAATAAAAATTTTGAGGAATTTATTTTTTTAATAACAAAAATTAATAAATAATTAA